AGAACAGGTGCGAAACTTCCCGCTTGTCAGTGTCATATTTGACAGTAAATGGGGCGCAAATGGGGCTCCCATTTACTGAAATACCATGAATTTTGCATTAACAACTTTTATATGTTCGAAAGTTCAATACCATGGGAACTAATGCACTCTATCGCACTAAAAAACCACCCTGTATATACAGAATTTACCTTATTTTTGTTTCTATTCTGACCTCCACACGAGTCAAGTGTCTGTTTAAGCGCTTCAGGTAAATTTTTGATAAATGAAACAAAAGGAATTTAATTTTTACCTTGTAATTGGCCATATCAAAACAGTCTCAGATAATAAACCTTATTAGTTGTCAAAGTATGGAGAGGAATAGTTTTCTGTAGATCAAATTAAAGTATAAAGGTAATTTTTGAAGTTTTTGTTTGCCATTCAAAGCGGAATAACTTAAAATAAATCGAACTTTTACTTGATGGAAATTGGAATCAAGTAGACAAGATTTTGGTTTATTGCTATATGACCCGCGATTATCGAAAACCAGTTGACTCTTTTTGCTACAAGCAAACCGCAAAATTCAAAGCCAATTTTACACTTAACTCGCCTAAGCATTAAGCCGTTCAATTACCAATTGCAAATATATAATTTTAGCGGCAGTGCAATGTAAATTTGCGCTTTGCATTAGGGTTTTGTGGCACCCCTATTCTCTCTAGTCCATGTTTTAACCGAATGTATTTCACTCTTCTGAAAAGTTTTGTTATAAATTGCGGTTGTTTATTTTCAGCTTAACGTACTTAAAATCATTTCCTTAACAGCTCATTCGTCACACAAATACGAATAATTCAACCGTATAACCCTTCATCAGAATCATAATTCATACGGTTGAGAATACCTTCACGAATTGTACGGTACGTACTCTGATCTGTTCAAATTCAATTATTAATTTATTTTCGATTGAGGTTACCGGTACTCGTTCCAGATACATATATGATATCGGAATGAAATGGGCATAATTATAAGGAGAGGCGAATGTCTTATCCCGTGTAATTATTTTTCCTTGTCACGATTTCGGTTGTGCATTCGAACCGAGACTTGCGTTACCAATGGTAAAGTAAATTGCTTTAATCTTGAAATATTGTTTTAATAATGCGTACCTACGTGAAATTGTAAGTGGTTTTGCTCCATCCTTTAACATATTTAGTTCCAAGCGATTTTTATTAAATGATCACGGCAATAAATCCAATAACTTTTACTCCAGGCTCATTAAGGAAATAATTGGCAAATTGCGACATAAACAGTTTGGCAGAGCTAAAATAATATTCCGTAAAATCAATGATCTATGCTTCTAGACAACCATCATGTCTTGAGTCTTGGCGGACGTGCTAGAATATGTCTATATATTTATATAGCAGGTTAATACTCTGGAAAATTGATGTTTTAACTGAAACTCTAATAGTATTTGCGAAATCAATTTATATAGAGATGAAGAACCGGCACCTAAAATTGAATATACACATTGCGAAAACAGTTGGTTAATTTCTTTGCAAATCATCTTTTATGTAAGCATGAATAACGCACTTTCGTTGATTTTTAAATGCTGACCTTTAGGCCGGAATACGGCAGGATTAGGCCAATAATGGCCAGTTGTAGCGTTTAATTAAGCAGCCATTTACTAAGAGGTTGTGGGGCCTTAAACAAAATGAAAATTTGAAAACACCGGCAAAGATTCCATAGACAATGAATCCAACTCATTGTGGAACAAAACAAAAACGTTACTGTTAGAAAAAGTGGCATCACAAACTGAAGTCACAACGAAACAAAAGAGTGAGGCATGGATCGCGGAAACAACTTAAAGCCACGTCTACACAAGGAAGAGGATATAGTACAATATAACGGACCCAATCAAGAGATCAAGCGCAACTGAAGAAAAGACAAAAACAAGTACGAAAAAGATATATGCACAGAAGTCGAGCAGCACGCACACGAGAATGAGTCAAAAGACCTGTTCAACAAAGTCAATCAAATTACACGTAAATTCAATTCAAAGTCCTGGGCAATACGATCGGAAGATGGTAAAGTAATAATAGACAAACCACAGGTAAGGGAGCGATGGAAAAACTATTGCGATAAAGTAATGGACGATAACAACTCAGAAAGTCATACGCAAACTACAACATACTACGAAAAAGAACCTTCCATACTTAGAGAAGAAGAGTGAGGTCAGCAGTTAGCAAGTTTGAAAACGAACAAGTCGAGTGGAGAGGACAGCGTGGTCGCTGATATTCGGACTGCACTCGAGGATATAAGAGTTGAACTATATGGGACACCGACACTTGGCCTGATGATTGGAGGAAGTCAGTATATGTTTATACACAAGAAAGGACCAAACTATATATGCTACAACCATAGAACAATAGCTGTTATTTCACACGCCAGCAACGTCATGACAGATAATATCGGAACGCATAAATCCTTGTTTACCATAAATACCACCAAGAACAAGCCGGATTCAGAGAACATATACTAAACCTCCGACAAATAATCTAAAAATTGAGAGAATTCAATGTACTTACCTACTTATGCTTCATAGATTACTCTAAAGCATTTGAATGCATATGATGGCAAAATTCATGGACGATTTCAATTGAAACGGGTGCACCTTTCGCAAAATTTATAGGACAATAGCACAGCATACGTCAAAGTAGAGGGAGATCTGACCAATCCATTCAGAGTGAGGAAAGAAGTTAGGCAGGGTTGTATACTAAGCCCACTACTCTTTAACGTATATGGCGAGTGGATCGTGAGGAAATAGCTTGATGACTGGCAGGGAGAAATCACCATTGACGGCTGAAAATCTGCAACTTGCTCTACGCCGATGATACGACTCTAATCGCTGCATCAGAAGAATCATTGATCAATGTTATACGAAAAGTCGAAGAAACAAGCAACGAATTTGACCTGCAGGTAAACAGAAAGAAAACCATAATAATGATAATTGATCGTCAAAATAATAACAGAACTTAAGTAGAAAGGATGAACAATATCGAGATAGTTGACCGTTTCATATATCTTGGTACCACAATCTGGAGCGAGGGAGGAGATAAAGGAGAGAAGCGCAATAGCGAAAGAATCCATGGCCAAATCTTTCTATATGGATCAGAATGCTGGACTTAAAAAAGACGGCTAAACGGAAGATAGATGCTTTCAAATGTTTTGTTGGCGTAGAATGCTGAGAGCGTTATGGACTGAGCTAGGAACGAACCAATCCATTCTGCACCAACTCAGAATTAAGAAGATAGTGAGTATTCTGGTAGCTGAGGAAATAGCTAAATTCTTTGGTCATGTGGTCAGAAGAAATGGTCTTGATCGAGTCACTCTGAAAGGGACAGCCCCTGTCAAACTATCAAGAGGAAGGTCGCCCAAAAGATACACGGATCTTATAACTGGTCTAACCGAGTCACCGTCTAACTAAACTGAGCAAACGACTAAGAAGAGTTAAGGGGTTATGGATGCATATTAGGGCATCATTCAAAACC